CTCTCTCCCTGCCACTCTCTTACCCCTCGTCCCTCCTCACTGCTGAGAAGAACCCATCTCTCCCTACCACTTTTGCCCCTGCTCGCTGATGAGACGAAAACCAAGCTACCTGCCACTCTCTTGCCCCTCGCTCCAAGGAGGCCACTCGACTTCCCTGTGGCTCTCTACAACTCACAATCTCTAAAGGTATGCCATCTCTTTGTATTTTACTCAGATTTATAGTAAAAATTGAGTTTATATTTGTGTACCCCATTTACAAAACCCCCATTGCTCCAATGGAGCTCTCTGTATACAAAAGAGCCCTAATTTTCAACAGTAGCTTCACTTTATAAAACCATATTTGTGCACCCTAATAGGAAGATTTGAATCCATATTCTCAGGGAAGGAATTGGTGTTTCATTGTGGTTGGACGTTTTTCATTTTTTTTGGGCATAAGCAAATCGATAGGAAGATTTGAACTCCATTTGCGGGCTTTTGGTTTGGTTCCTAGCTCGACGAAAAAGAACCTCAATGGATAAGAAAACTGAAATTTTGGGTAAAAATGATCATATCTTACTTCCTGTCAAGAAAGTGGCATCTGATAATTACTCCAAATTTGAATTTTCAGAGGGTCCATCCAATTACAGTGTATAAGTTCGAGGATTTGCAGAAGGCTATAAACGATTTTAGCTCAGATTATAGAGTAATTTTGGAGAAGGATGAAGAGAGAGAAAAGGATGTGCTTTTGTCAACAGTCATAGTGCCATTGCTAGAGAGAAGATGCCAGAGAGAAGCTTAGGAGCATGATGGATCCCAGTTTGGGAGAGGATTACCCTTTGAATTTGGCACTCACCATAGCTCAGCAGGTTAAGACCTGCCTGTCACAAGATTTGGGTTCTCGACCTGATATTTTTGATGTCTTATTGTCTCTCTCTAGGATTCTTTCTTCTTCTTTGGATTGGGATTCATCTCATATTACACACTTTGGTTCTGGTGTCTACCTGTTACAATGTATTGTCATGGATTCATATAAAAGCAGATATCTTACTGTCAATTTTTCCAAGGGTTTTTATTCACTTCTAATGCATTTTCAATACATCTTAGATTGTTCTATGATTTCTACTTGTTGAATATATTTAGACTGATTTAGAGGGAGTGTATTTCTCAATGTGGAATTTAAGATATTACACATAGAGAGATGTTTTCTGGATGCACGCTAATCGCTTCTTCGTAATAGATTGGGGCATTGGACATTTATAGACGGAGAAAGTTGTTCTTTTTTTTTTTTGGGGGAGGGGGGGGGGGGGGGAAGGAGGAGAGAGAGCTCATATTCATTAATTTAGAAGTTTGTTTTTCTTGATTTAGTGTCTTATGCTCATATTCCTAGTCTTGTTGATATTGAAAATAGAATTAGACTTCTGATATTGGAGGAATTTAACAAGAAGCACAAAGGACACTGCTGTGAATTCAGTTATAAATTCACAGCAGTGTCCTTTGTGCTTCTTGTTAAAAGTAACAAACTCGATATAACTTATAAAATATTTGCCACTAATACAATTTAGAGAAAACCAACAAAATTAATGTTTGCCCAAATACTACACCCTTAAACACCATGGCTACACCCTTAAACCCATATTCCACAAATATGTCCATTGAAGAAAACACCTTGTTTATGTTGTACCAGAATCAAGGCATCAGTAAAACTAGCCAAAAAATTCAAATAAGAAATTATACATTAAATAACAAAAGACAACCATAGCACTTTTAAAAACAAAATTTAACGAACTGAGAAAACTCAAAATGAAACCATAAAGCATGACGAATAAAATAAGAAAAAAAGATGAAATTGTATGAAAAATAAAAAATATGAAACACAGGGAATATAGTGTACGTATTTTAGAGTGGTTGCATGAAAAATGAAAATTTTAATACCCATTATTTTTTTATATGAGAGTTGAGAGGGGCACGACTTTTAAACCTATTTATTTTATCTAAATTGGGATGAAAACAAGATAAGAATATTGCAAACACCTATCTATCTTTCTCCTCAAGTAGGATATAGAATCTCTCTCTTTTAGCATGAGAGATATATTTTAGGTGAGGAAATAATATGTATAGATTTTAAGATATAGTTACGATATTCTACTTTAATTATAAAATAAGGGTTAGTTTGACAAAATAGAATCTGAATATTCAAATTTTAAACAATATGAATAAAGCAATTGCCATATATGAATTATAAATCATATTTATATGTATTTTTCTATACATATTTGATTGTCTTAGACTACTGATAACTTTGGAAAGAATAATGATGAGTCCCTCGCAATGAAAGCCCCATTTTGAGTGAATAATCCAACCCTCCTTCAAGATATTGGGTAAAGGTAACATATTGGACAACCAAATGTCTTATTTTTCTCTCTCTATGCTATCTTGATCGCTTTTACAAGTAGCTCCATCCTTGATTCCTCGGCTCTATCGATGGTACTTACATTGTGTACCAACAAATTTTTGTTTTTTTTTTGACAAAAGCACAAAAAAAAAAGTTATTGTGATTTGCCCAAGATCTCAAGCAGTTTCTCTGATACTTCTTGTTGCAAGTTTCGCATGATAGCATCCTGGCTGGTCTACTACCTTCACTTTCAGCAGAGAAGCACATCCGATGCATAACCATTTTTGATGGTGCAAACATTGAATGAAGACAATTGAAAGTTCTGTTTGAGTTAAATCCTAGCGTAACTGTGCACACAATGTTCTATCATGTTCCTTCAACTACTACACTGTAGCCAATGATCACGGATGCCCTTGTAGACCCTAATGTTGACCCCTTGATATCTCAACCGTAATCACAAGCTAAATTTTCCTCTTCGACTAAAGAAACTTGACTTCAAGATAATTATAAGGGAAGATTTCAAAAAACCCTAAGAGTACAGTTTTTATTCAACTTACCCCCAACCTAACTTTTTCTCACTTTTTTTTCAAAAATACTTGCAAATACCTCCCAACCAAATAAAATATAAAAAAATACCTAAACTACCCTCCCTTACTTTTATCTTACCCACGCATCTCTCTTCTCTGTGTAAGTGCGCTCTGGCACTGTGTAAGTACACTCCGGCAGTACAACACTCTAGAGTCACAGCGCTCCGACACTGTCTATGTGCGCTCCTACAGTGAATCATGCACTTCAGCACTGTGTAAGTGCGCTCCGGCAGTGCAACACTTTAGAGTCATAACACTCCAGCACTGTCTATGTGTGCTCCAACAGTAAATCATGCGCTCCGGCATTGTGTAAGTGCGCTCCGATAGTGGAATCTGGAGTCACAATGTTCCGGCATTGTGTATGTGCGTTCAAGCAGTAGATTTCGCTCCGGTAGACACATCACTCTAACACTATCTATGTGCGCTCCAGCAGTGCAACACTCTAGAGTCACATCACTCCAACACTATCTATGTGCGCTCCGACAGTGGATCATGCGCTCCGAAACTGTGTAAGTGTGCTCCGACAGTGGAATCTGGAGTCACAGTGCTCCAACATTGTGTATGTACACTCCGGCCGTAGATGATGCGCTCTGGCACTGTGTAAGTACGCTCCGACACTGTGTAAGTACGCTCCTGCAGTATAACACTCTGGAGTCATATCGCTCTAGCATTGTCTATGTGCGCTTTGGCAGTGGATCATGCGCTCCAGCAGTGTGCAAGTGCGATCCGGCAATGCAACACTTCAACGCTCCGACACTGTCTATGTGCGCTCCGGCAGTGGATCATGCGCTCTGGCAGTGCAACACTACACCGCTCCGGTGATGTCTATGTGTACTCCGGTAGTGGATCATGCACTCTGGCACTGTGTAAGTGCCCTCCAGTAGTGTAATCTAGAGTCACAGCGCTCCAGCACTGTGTATGTGTGCTCCGGTAGTGGATCATGCACTCTGGCACTACGGTGGTTTGCTCTGACAATGAGCTCCGAAAGTTAACATCAAATTTGGCCAAATTGATTTCTATGTACAGGAATGGCATTTCCGTCTAGAAAAAATGAACTTTTTCCCTTGGGAGTATTTGCATAGAAAGTGTGTTTTTTAGAAAAAAGTGAGAGAAAAACTTAGACGAGGGTAAGTTGCATAAAAAGTGTGGTTTGAGGGGTCTTTTGTAATTTTCCCTAGTTATAAATGTGGAGAGAATATCTTCAATGCACTTAGTGATCCTCTATTTGACTTGTTCCTATATTCGGCTGTGCAAATCTCTCTCGTACCTTTTCTCTCACATCTACATATAAGCTTTCATAAAAAAATATCTCACCTCTCCTAAAATCTTTCAATCTCAAGATTCTCTATATCCATATATATCTTTCATTTTCAAGTCACTACTTACACATCTCTCCCTACATTCTTTTTCTCTATCTTTCCCTATCTCTCTTTCAAATACATAAGCTTCTATAAAAAAATTTCATCTCTCCTAAATAAAAAATTTTCATCTCTCCTAAAATCTATCATGCATTAATCTTTCAATCTCAATATTCTCCATATCCATATATATTTTATTTTAAAGTCTCTCTCTACACGCATTCTCTGTCCACCTTTCCCTATTCCTCTACCTTAAATGAGCTTCCATAAATATCTTTTTTTCTCTCTAAACATTTTTTATCCGCATCTCTTTTTCCCATTTTTCTTTATTCGTTTTCTGGAGGCAACTCTCTCCTCTTACTTTGGCTTATTTTTGCAACACGTGTCATCTTTTAACTCTGGCTTAATTAAATTTTAACGTAGCACACTTTTACCAACTGCACCAAAAAAAATGCTGGCCTTAGCCGGGCGAAGTTCTTTCGACAAATTTTGAGGGCCCAAACGCCTGTAAGCAATATTTTTGTGCCTGGGAGGCAGGGTCGGGTCTAACCAAAATGTTTCGGGGTCGACAACACCCGATAACCGCCCTAATTGTGTCCCTAATGTTTCATGGTATGCACGCCATGCTTGACCCAGCACTGCAAAACCACTCTTCGCTTATTCTTTACTCTTCAGCCGTGCCATATGGCTAACCAGCCCACTAACACCCCTAATTTCACTGAAATGTCCCATACTCCTCCTCCTCCGCCTGAGTTTTCAGGCGAAATCTCCGCGGGTTCTAAGACTCGTTTTCCGAATCCTCCGGAGACTTATTTTCCGAATCGTCCAGACCCTTCGAATCCAGACCCTGTGACGCTGAGGGAGCAATGGAGGTTTGCAACGAGGCAATACGGCAAGTGGTACTCTCACGCATGGGGCACCGCCATTCTTGCTGGAATCTCCTTCTTTGCCCTCGGCTGGTTCATCAAAGGCGGCAATCCCTTGACCTCTTTTAAGCATGCTGATGATGATCACAAAGCAAAGGGTGATTAAATGATGGTTCTTTCTCGCGATTTGGAGGTGCATTCCATCATCTTCTATTGCTTCTTCATGTTATGGAGAATTGTAAAAGTTATATGGTCTCAAAAATGTTTACATGATTATTGTTGTGGGCAATTTCTCCCTCTGCTGTTTTTTTTCATTTGTCTTAACCAGTGACCATATGTTTTCATACCTGTTTCATGATCTCTATCTTTCTCCTCTTTTTTCTGTGAAATTATTGGGAAAAAGTTTCCTTTTTCATTAGCTGAGAAATTAAGAATTTATGAGTTGTAAGTACTGGATACGTGCCAAGAGAAGGGAAAGACTAGGGGCACGTGGCTGAGCAAGGAAGGAGAGAGGTCTCGTGGGCAGCAAAGAGATCCATTTCATCTCATCTCTATGATTCCATTTTCGATTTGTAATTCTGATCGCTCTTCAAATTTAACTTTTCTCTCTTCAGAACTACAACCATAAACTTTTCTTCTCCTCTCCAACTTAAGACCACCAAATTCGTCTTGTCTGCAACATAAAAGCCACGAACCTAGAAGATCAGCCCAAAAGTCCACCTAAGAAATGGATGAAAATTGCAGTTAAATCTGCTCTAAACAGCAAGCCGAAAGGCGAACCTTGTAACCTTAAGGGTAGTGGGGCAAATTCAAATATTGATGGTGAGGAGCCAAATTCAAGAAAGCAAAAACAAACGCCCAAACCTTCATAGAGCCCGAAAAAACTACATTCAGCGTTCATAATAAACTTCAACCTTCAAAGCTTACTTCTGTTTGAAGATTTGAGGACGAAATCATCTTCTAACCTTTGTCAATTTGAAGATTATGGGGCCAAATCCATCTTCTCTGCAATTTGAGTCCACCCAATTGCCCAAAAAAACATGCCAAATAACTGCCCAAGAAGAAAGCCAAAAGTTGTAGAGAAATCCTCCCAAAATAAAATAAAATAAAAACCCAAAAGTTGAAGAAATCCAATCCACCCATAGAAATAAAGATGCAAATTTTCTTCTCCTCCTTATTTTCTTTTTTTTCCCATTTGGAGGAATTCTGGACATATAAATCGGAAAAGACTTGCCTCAGCCAAAGACATAGGCCAAGTAAGTCGGCCGAGTCCAAGTCTTGTCACATTGGAATAGCAGTTTCTTTTAGCTTCTGTTAAACTGGAGAATATCAAAATTCATGTTTGTCTGTGTTTTGTCTAGCGCATGCCTTCATGTCTAGACTATAGGCACTCATAGGAATGATGCAGCTAAGTTGCCGATCAAATAAAAAGGAAAATGAAGGTTTAACTGTGCTTTGCCAATCATACTTGGATGATCTTGACATGTTGGATTGTTTCCTTTTCTTAGGGTTGGGGGTAAATGGGTTTGTACTCTCTCAGAATGGTCTGGTTTTCAATTTGGCAAATCAGCTCTACAACTTCTCATGATGTGTTGAAACCCAATGACATTCAAGGGTCATTTCATGTTTTATTAAATGATGGGCAGTCAATTAATTTATCTTCTATTTTTCATTGTTTCAAAAAACAGCCCGCCCAACATTTTGGTATCTCCCTAGATGCCCAAGAGGCATAGGCCGCCTCACCTAGGCATATCCAGTATTGATCGATTTTGCGATTTTTTTGAAAGAAGAAAATTTTGAGAAGTTCATAGATTTATCCTAAACGTTACCATGTCACATTGCAATCAATTTTAGGGTCCAAATGAGGTTAGTGGACAAATCATAGTTGTTGGAAATGCTTGGGAACCCAAACTTTTTAGGAGCCAGAATCGCGGAATTGCTGTCGATTAGAAAATTCCTGTCTTAAGAATCATTATCTGTACAATAGGAACCGCGGGGAACGAGATTCCTAGTTTTTGAGAATCGTGTTTGAGCTGAAATAGATCCAAGTTTCATCTGCATATGGAATCGATATTTCGTCTTCAGAATTGAGATTTCCATCCCCTTGGAATTGACACTCCAGTAGTCAAGATTCAGTAATCTGTGGAATCGAGTTTTCGACATCTATGGAATCAAGTTTCTGACATATATGGAACAAAAATATGTTGCTGTTTCGAATCATGATTCTAAGATATTTGGAATCAAGTGTTTGAAGTATATGATCAGAGATCCATGCCAGTTTGAGATCAAGATTTGCAATAATATGGACTATGCAATGCGTTTGACGACCCCTACTAGGAATCGATATTTCATTTTTATGGAGAAGAAAATCCCAATCACATCTTGAGCCTTATCAACGTTAGAACCTATATTGGACGTCTCTTATTATAAGGTTTCCCAAATTTTAAAGTGATTGTGTTAATTATGAACTTACGGTATTTGTAAATTGTGATTTTGACTTCATTATTATAAAGACAAAATAGAATTATGTCTATGCCATGGTTTTACTTTTAATTGTATGTGTTGTATTTACCAGGTATATTTTAAATTTAAAGTAAAAGCCATCTAGGTTGGCACAAGTAAAATAATAAAAACTTGTAGCCACTAGAAGCATTCAAAGGAAGATTTCTACTCCAATTTCCTTTAGGAAGTGCACAACCATCATAAACATTGGACATTATGTACTTTGAATTGGGTTTTTTTTTTTTGATACTTTGAATTTATTTATTTTTGAATCAAGATTTAATCCTCGATGGAATCCAGATTCGATATATTTGGGAACGTCTACCCACAATTAATGGGTTTAAGTTTCTAAAGATATGTTGGAACGAGATTCCAAAATTAAGGAATAGAGTTTCCTTGGTTCCGATAAATGGTTTCTAAAGATGTATTGAATCAAGATTCCGAAATTAAGGACTTGAGTTTCCTTGGTTTTGAAAAATGGTTTCTAAAGATGTGTTGAAATGAGATTTCGAAATTAAGGAATCAAGTTTCCTTGGTTCTAAAAAACAGTTTCCGTGGAGATTTCTTAACAGAAATGTGGAATCGGGTTTCGGAATCGGAATCGCGAGGTCGGTAGAGAGATTTTGGTAACTATGGGACAAATTATAGGATTCTGAGCTTGTTAGACAACCAAAACATTGAAGATCAGACATCCGAAAAATTGAAGAATTAGGGATCTCTTTTTTTGCCATTTGTGTAACATCTTTCATACAACAACATTTTGTATTGGTGTTTTGGTCTCATTGCAGATTTGGAGTCTATGAGTATAATTGTATGTGGTATGGACACTATATCACTAATATGATAGGTACTAATTTTTTTTTTTTTACTTTTTAAGTTTTTCAAAGAAGCAAAATTTTCAATGATTCGAACGTGCTTGAATATTTATGCGCATATATTTGTATACAATAGTGGTGATGCCTTGGGGCTGCCCAGCATTTTTGTAAACCTTCAATACTCTTAGCAACTTTGGGAGGCTATCAAAAATTGAAGGTTATAATTCCAGGGCTCAAGTTGATACTTGTAATTTGATTTAAATACATAATGATGCCACTGTAATGGACGAAAAATATTGTAGTACCTATTTATAAGAACAAATGAGACATACATAATTGTACAAACTATCGAGGGATCAAGCTTATAGCCATACTATGAAGCTCAGGGAGAGAGTCATTGAGGAACAATTATGGCATGAAACATGTGTATCTGAAAACCAATTTGGTTTTATGCCAGGCAACTAAGGCTATTTTCCTACTTAGGCAACTGATTGAGAAGTTTAATGCGAAGGGAGTGCACATGGTCTTTATTGATCTAGAGAAAGCTTATATAGAGTATCTCGAGAATTAATTTGGTAGGTTTTGAAAAAGAAAGGAGTCTCCAGACACTACATCGACTTGGTGAGAGACATATATGATGGAGCGCTAACTAGTGTACGATCAACTAGTGGAGAGACAAGTGAGTTTTTAGTGACAATAGATCTACATCAAGGTCCAACATTGAGCCTGTACCTCTTTATCTTAGTTAAGAACGACTTAACTAGGCACCTACAGGATGAGGTACCATAATGCATGTTGTTTGCAGATGACGTAGTTTTGATCGATAAGACACAAAACGACGTCAACACAAAGAACTTTGGAGTGATGTTTTAGAATCCAAAGGTTTTTAAAATTAGCTGATCTAAGACAGAGTGTATGGAATGCAAGTTTAGTAATAATAGGAGTAGAGATGAGGAAGTAGTTAAGATTGACGGCTAGAAAGTACAAAAAAGACCGCACTTTCGATACTTTGGGTCGATAATCCAAGAAAATAGAGAGATTGAGGTAGATGCCATACATAGAATTAGAGCTGGGTGGGTGAAGTGGAGATGTGCAATTGGAATTTTATGTTATCACCGCATACCAATGAAGTTGAAGGGCAAGCTCTATAAGATACCTGTGAGACGAAGTTTGCTCTATGGGGTGGAATGTTGTGTAGACAAAAAACAATATACCCATAAATGAGTGTAGCGGAGATGATGATGTTGAGATGGATGAGTGGCATGATAAGAAGGGATAGAATCTAAATGGAATCCATTAGGGAAAGTTTAGGTGTAACACCAATAGGCGATAAGATGAGAGAAAGTAGACTTAGGTGGGCTAGCCATGTGTGGCATCGATCCAGTACAGCACCTGTTAGGAGGTGCGAGTTAGTTCAAGTGAAAGGATTGAAAAGGACAAGGGGAAGGGTCAAAAGGATGTGGTTGGAAGTCGTCTAAAAAGATATGGAGACTTATGGCCTCACTAAGGGTATGGCGTCACTAAGGGTATGACCTCACGTGGTTGAAGATCATCTTCTTGAGTCTACAATACATCGTGAACTCGTAGGGTCCCTCATCTATCTCACTATAACACACTTAGATATTGCATATGCTATCCATGTTGTGAGCAAGTTTGTTTCAGATCTTCACCGGCCACATCTATTAGTAGTTCACCAAATTTTGCACTATATTTTAGATACTTCCAATCATAGATTATCCTTGGACTCCACATCCTTTTTAGATTTCAGTGCATATGGAGATGCATATTGGGCAAGTGATCCAGACACTTGCTACTCTACTACAGAATGTTGTATATTTCTTGGATCATC